TTACTTACATCCACTTCATTTGAACTTTGGTGGATAGTTGTCTCATAGGCAATCATACCACATCTTCTTATTTTCATATTGGTTTGTTTAATACTTCATATATCTAAACATGCTAAAAATTACAAAACAAAAGCCCAAACTTAAATTAAGTTTTTCTGTTTTTATCATTAATGATAACTGTACCATTATATACTGAAGTTAAGTGGAATCCTGGGACTGTTTTAAATGGCTGTTGCAGATTCAAAGTAAAAATAGACACCAGTATAAATGAATAAACAAATAAACACAATTACCACTTCTTCTTGTGGGTACAAAAGCAATCAATATACTAAGGGATATATAAAATAATTAAAAAAAAAGTCTTGTAAACATTAATAACTAATTAGGTATAAATATAAAATGTAAAAAAATCATGGCACATAAAAGATAACATCTGGTTTGTTACAATAATTTGATTGAAGCTCTTTATGCTGTAGATGCAAGTTATTTACATAGGTTAGACATTAACAGACCTAATTCTGAATATTGATCTGAACATTTGGGTCTGCATATTTTTTCATGAATTTTAATCATGGTTGAAGCATTTTAAGCTTCATTTTTTTTTCTTCTTCAAACTGTTAATTTTTTTACAATTAAGCCTGTACCTATTCTTGTATTTGCCAAGAAAAGGAGACACTTGCACACATGCGTAATGCGTAATGAATATCGTCATGTTCGGCTCAAAGTTCTGTTCTTACGAAATGAAATAGAAAGCTTTTATTTAAGGATATAAATTATCAATAGCCTTTGATGAAAAGTTGTTTCATAATAAAGTCAATGGTCTGTTCTTGGTCTGACAATATTTTCTGTCAGCAGTCAACACAGGACAAAATGATAAGCGATCATTAAACTGATATCCTCAGGAGCATAAATAAGTTATTCATGAGCCCTGTGGATTATCATACAATACTGAGCGGCAGTTTCATTACCAGACAAGAATTGCAATCAAATTTATAACCTTTGTAATAAAAAAATACAATTTTTAACAAAAGGGCTTTGATTTGTAAAAATAAATAATTGGAACTAGCAAAAAATTAAAATAGATATTCCATCCAAATAAATTCTGATAATAATAATTCAGTATAATTATTATTTCCAAGAGGCATAACTCTTTTAATAATTATTGATTGGCACTGTTTTTTTTTAATAACTTGTCCAAGATATTGCTGATATAACACAATGATATTAGTTTCATAAAAATCCGGCAAGAATTGTACACATGAGAGCGCTAACCATGCAATTTTACAAATAATTAATATTTCCAAGTGACTCTTAAAATTGTTGATCGGCACTGATTTTCAAACTTCTCTGAGATATTGCTGATATAAACCTATGATATAAGACGGCTGGATGCCTGGTTTTTCTATATCCGTGCAAGGCGTCACGCTAGGGACAATAAAAAGGTCTTTAGTAAATATGTATTTTATTGTCAGTATTATCCTTTTTAATTTCTCAAGTGTTTTTTGTTTGTTTCATAAAGAGTTTTGGTTTTTGGTAGTCTCTGTTAAATTGATTAAACACCCTGAAGATATTCCTCACAATTTAGTGTGCCTGATGTATTGTATATATACAAGACAATATGTGTAACTCTAGATATCTTCAGTTTTAGCTTCATGGTGTTGTTGTTAAACACAGACCCCACAACTTTCATTAATATTTATATCCTCTAAGTCAGTAATATGTATCAAGATATATAAATGATCAAAATGAGACTAAGCTCAGGAGATTCGATAGCAACAAGTTTATCAGGTCCCGACTTGCCTAGCTTGGTATAATGATTGAAATTTCAAACTATCAGCAAATAGGAAGTAGCTGTACGTCAGATCTAAAAATTGCTTTCACAATTTAGCTCAACATTATCAAGCTCCAGACCAAATATACAGTAATTTGTTTTCCATAGAAAAGGAATGACAAACAGTGGCAAGCAGTTACTAGGTATGCATTCACCAAAGGCATGTAAAAAATAATAATTTTTTTAACACTTTTACCATGTATATGTATAACTAAAAATTTAGCTCTATTCAATGTAAATGAACAGTGTTACTAGACAGTTTAAAAAAGGTGACATGAATAGAAAAACATCATAAACAAACATTCCATAAAACAAACACAAAAGTATGTACAAATTCGAAAGTCTAACAATATACATCTTCTATCAGAAATCAACATAAAAACTCATAACAGACAAAACAAGAAAGAAAATAGTTAACATACCTTTAAACCCTGTAAATCGAAAAATGAAACTCCATCAAAACACTCTATATTTCCAATTAGAAGCTACAATGAGTATGTTGCACTCACCAATATTCTAAGCAAAACATTTGTCTAAACAAGGAATTATTTGAATCTGGAATCATAGACTAATTCATTTTGAATTCTGGAAAATTAATAAGAAATGTATAACGAAAACTAACATAAATAAATAGGGTGCATGGCTAATGGGGGTAAGTTAGTTCATATTATAGGATTAAACGCCTTTTAAAAGGAATTTATTGGTGTATAAACTCGACCAATTCACTCACAAACAAATAAAAGTCTGAAGGACTTTTATGATATGTTTGTGAGTGACTTGGTACAGTTTATACACCAATAAATTCCTTTAAATAGGCATTTAATCCTTATAACTCTTTAAAATTGGAGATAAGGAATTTATTTTTCCACACTCGTAACCTCTATCACACGTAAATTGTATATTTGTGTCATTGAATAGGCCTGGCGCATGAATATATATGTTGGTTCTTCTTCTTCTTCTTCTTCCGCCGCTTTTAAATTTGAACTTGTCCGCACCCGTTCTCCATAACCACTTGTCAGATTAACTTTGGGTTTCACAATATGTTAGACTAACATGTCTAGTGGTGCAATCAGGGTTTTGTTTGTACAATGGGGTTTATAAAGGGGTACTTTGAGGGGCAAAAAGAAAGGAGAGTTTTACTATAGAACCCTATGGGATTTTATTTTTTAAAATTTTCAAATGATTATAAATTGAAAACTGTTTGTGATAGACACAATATTTTTAATTGAAAATGTTCTAAATGGTAAAGCACATTAAATGAAATACAGGGTTAGACCCCAGGGGTCACCCCCACCCCCTGCCATTTAAGAAAGTTCTAATATCTTGTAAATGGTCGAGATCCCCACCCCTAAACCATATATATTCTGGTTTGTCATGCGAAGATGGTTTGAATGATATACAGGGTTAGTCCCAAGGGGTCATCCTGACCCCCTGCCATTTGAGAAAATTCTAATATCTTGTAAATGGTCGAGATCCCCACCCTTAAACCATATATATTCTGGTTTGTCATGATAAAGCACATCAAATGAAAAACAGGGTTAGTCCCCAGGGGTCACCCCCACCCCCTGCCATTAAAGAAAGTTCTAATATCTTGTAAATGGTCGAGATCCCCACCCCTAAACCATATATATTCTGGTTTGTCATGATAAAGCACATCAAATGAAATACAGGGTTAGTCCCCAGGGGTCACCCCCACCCCCTGCCATTTAAGAAAGTTCTAATATCTTGTAAGTGGTCAAGATCCCCACCCCTAAACCATATATATTCTGGTTTGTCATGCAAAGATGGTTTGAATGATATACAGAGTTAGTCCCCAGGGGTCATCGCGACCCCCTGCCATTTGAGAAAGTTCTAATATCTTGTAAATGGTCGAGATCCCCACCCCTAAACCATATATATTCTGGTTTGTCATGATAAAGCACATCAAATGAAATACAGGGTTAGTCCCCAGGGGTCACCCCCACCCCTTGCCATTTAAGAAAGTTCTAATATCTTGTAAGTGGTCAAGATCCCCACCCCTAAACCATATATATTCTGGTTTGTCATGCTAAGATGGTTTGAATGATAAACAGGGTTAGTCCACAGGGGTCACCCCCACCCCCTGCCATTTAAGAAAGTTCTAATATCTTGTAAATGGTCGAGATCCCCACCCCTAAACCATATATATTCTGGCTTGTCATGCTAAGATGGTTTGAATGATATACAGGGTTAGTCCCCAGGGGTCATCCCGACCCCTGTTATTATAGAAAGTTCTAATATCTTGTAAATGGTCAAGATCCCCACCCCTAAGCCATATATATTCCTGTACATCATGTCTCGAACATTTGAATGACGTATACGGTCAGTCCCCAGGGGTTCCCCCAACCCCCAATGTTCTAATATCTTGTAAATGGTCGAGATCCCCACCCCTAAACCATACATATTCTGGTTTTTCATGCCAAGATGATTTGAATGATATACAGGGTTAGTCCCCAGCCATCACTAATTGGAATTACGAATTATGAGAGCTTCGTTTGGGAGACTTCGTAACAGCATCCTGTTACAATCATTTCTTGTTTTTTGGTGATATATATACATTATACATATAGACCCATATTGAGACCTATTTTTTTTTTTTTTTTTTTTTTTAACATTAACAAATTCTTTATTGCACTAGTATCTAGTTGTTAACAACTGCCCTATATAGTACAACCATTATATTTAGGTTTATCCCTGTGTGTTAATCGTCAAATGAACCAGGGGATTGACTTGACGAAATTATATATTCTTCATTGTTAGAATAGTTTACCTTTGCATTTTACATTCATTTTGCGGATATCTGTTTTCTCCGTTTACGGTTTGTTATTTACAGTGATTTATTTATAAACCCTACAACACGTACGTGACTTTCCATTGGAAAAATTTTGTCTATCATATTCTATCAAGGTAAGTTTCTAATATAATTAGTGTGCCACTATGATTAAGATGACTTAATGTATGATGTTCTTCTATGTGTATATATATATATATGTATTTGAAATGTCTTCAATCTTTGATATTATTCTAAATAACGTTCAATGAAACGAAAGTAGATATTTCAACATGTTTGATTTCTTCAAAATTGAAAATAATATAGGATTAAACGCCTTTTTAAAGGAATTTATTAATGTATAAACTCGTCCAATTCACTCACAAACAAATAAAAGTCCGAAGGACTTTTATGATATGTTTGTGAGTGACTTGGTACAGTTTATACACCAATAAATTCCTTTAAATAGGCATTTAATCCTTATAACTCTTTAAAATTGGAGATAAGGAATTTATTTTTCCACACTCGTAACCTCTATCACACATTAATTGTATATTTGTGTCATTGAATAGCCCTGGCGCATGAATATATTTGTTGGTTAACGCAAAAATATGTACTCCATGAAATTTGCAATCTGATAAAAAAATAAACTACAAAAACTCTTATTATCATTCAAACGAATGTTGTGTTTATTATTTAATTTAACGATTAACGCGAAGTGAAAATAAATTTTGTTAACATTGATCCTGATTGTGTCATTATCGCCGCCATCTTGTTTACATTGGTTACAAAAAGAAGTTCGGTCATGCAATGTCGTCTATCGAAAAATATACAACGTAAAGAACAATTACCTGAAGTCCTCTCAACCAACCATATCAACATATTCCCTAATATGCAAATCATATAAGAATTATACTGATTTATCAGTGAAAGTAAAATTGACCTTAGCCATGCACACCTATTTAGTTGGGTTAGTTTTCATCATACATTTCTCATCAATTTTCCAGAATTCAAAATTATTCCAGATTCAAATAATTTCTCGTTTCTAGATTAAAACAAATGCATCACAGCAATCATATCATGGTAAATATCACAGGGATCATTTTGGTCAAATAAGAAAATATTTTGCTGAGCAGTAATTGATTTCATGAATTTCCCATACAGTCAAAAGAAAATTCTCTTTGCTATGGTAGCCATATTGAATTTAGGCATAATCTCTTATTGAAATTCTGAGTATATAAGTTGAATCATATATTTCATAAAAATCTATGGACGGTCAGGAGATCAACAAACATACCATATTATGACATATGGTTATCATTTCTTTGTTGGCATCTAACTTTGTCTATGTCAAGGTAGCACAATATTTTAAAAGGAGTATATGAAAGCCCCGTGAATTATCATTGATGTAAAATTTAACGATTTTGGATTCACTAATAGTTTGATTTTTCTTTTCATTGGTTTTCTTACTGTTATTGGGGCTTCATATTATATTATATCAAATTATAAATTACTTAGTACTGTGTCACTCACCTTGGTCTATGTGCATATTCAACAAAAGACACTCTCTAATATTGTAGACGAGAATAGAATTCATGACAAAAATCTCTGTTTTGTTGATCTTGTAGTGCTAATCATTTGGTCTGTTTAGTTTCTCTCTATCTTCTTTAGTTTTTGCTCAAAACACAAAAGAGGGTAAAAAAAATTCTCATTAAAGGGCAATCACTCCTATTAAGTGACAGTCTACAGTCGGTCATTGGACACATTTTTGAAACTACCGTAGATACCCCAATGATGATTGTGGCCAAGTTTGGTTAAATTTGGTCCAGTAGTTTCAAAGATAAAGATTTTTGTAAAAGTTAACGGACGACGACGCACGCCAAGTGATGAGAAAAGCTCACTTGGTTCTCTGGGCCAGGTGAGCTAAAAAGGAAAGGTCAGATTATTGAATCCAACATTGATATTTTTTTTTGTATAAACAATATCTTGTTAGCGCTCTTTGAATACATATGTAATTCTTTCATCATTGAAAGTTCTGAACACATAAATTTTTTTCAACATAACTGTCTGCACTACATTTGTACCTTCTCTCCTTGTGAAACAGTGAACTCCTCATAAAACATTATACAGTAACAGTTATATGTCTCTCTGCTCCAGTTGTTCAAGTATAAAATGTTCTGAAACTTGTTTATCTGGATTGAATGTTATCATCAGTGACTTTGCTCCTTCATCATCTACCATACATGTAATATAAATATTTCACCTCAAATCAAGCATTTAAATGCTGGTGTAACAAACTGAGGGCAGATACTTCATCAACAAAATTTACGCAACAGGTTGCAGCTATGATCTAATTAAGCAATAGCCTGTGCTACCTTCTCTCGCTGTGTGATGGTGAACTTCTCGTGGCATGTAATAACTCTATTTCTCTGCTCAAGTTGTTTGAGCTCAAAATGTTCCGCTACTGTAGTTAACTGTGGATTGTACAGACACCCTGCCATTAGTGTTTCTGATCCTTCATCACCAACGTATATCACAAACACATCGGCTGTAAACAAAATTCAGTAAAATCAATAAAATATGATTAAAGAAGATGTGAGGTAAATGTCTATCAGAGAGCAAACCAAAGACCATGAATGAAACATGTGCAGCACCTGTATAGGAGTAGGGATTCACTGAGATATAGTGAAACCTTTGTCATAAATTTCATAATAATCCTATAAGGATGGAGACTTGAGATCACTTACATTGCAATTTTCCATATAATTTATATTTCCAAGGGGCATAACTCCTTTCAAAGTAGTTGTTTGGAACTAATCTTCAAATTTTACGGAGACATTGCTGATATAAACCTGATATAAATTTCATAAAAATCTGAGAATGGTAAGCATGAGAGCTCTTGCAAGACTGGACAGACTGATACCCAGTAATTCTATTATACTCTCACCACGTTTTAGGGGAACAGTAAAATCTTCTATGGGTGTTAGTTTTCAGAGCCATATGTTACTTATAATTACAAAATAAAAATATTATAGGCAATTATTATTCCCTGACCCTGTTGAGAGATATCAAATGTCATGTATGTTGGACTCAAAAGATAACTGAAAACGATGAGGCAGAAAATCAAAGACCATGAAGTTTAGCCCACAGATCTTTTTGTTTGTGTAATAGACTGTTCAAACAAATACAGTTCATGTTAATATTCAATCCTTTTTTACAATATTAAAAATTCCACGCCCTGGATATACAGAAGATGGTCAAAGTTTTCTGTTAAAATGAAAGAAATCATTCTGATAAATCTACTGTTTCCACAAATATGTCACTTTTTGTGACGTTGATCCATTCATGTGACGCACAGTTTATATATCGTTTGTGGTGTCCTGGTGTGCTGTCGTAAATTCATGGGAGGTGTCCGTTGTTATTCTGCAGTTTACATGTTGCAATGTACTATTTTATCATTTATATATGTATTTCTCTGTGCTGAGTGTTCTTGCGTTTGTTTGTACTGTATTCCTGTCACGTAGTGTAATTTTAACATTGCCATATAAGCGGGAGGTTTGGCTAGCCATAAAACCAGGTTCAACCCACCATTTTTTCTTAAAATGTCCTGAGAATATGGCAGTTGTTATCTTAAGTCCGTTTCTATGTATGTTGGTGTTTGCTTTTGTTGTTCCCCTCTTATAGTTGATGTGTTTCCCTTGGTTTCAGTTTGTTTTTGCTTAATCGAATTATGACTATTGAACAGCGGTATACTACTGTTGCCTTCTTTATCCATTTGAATGGTAACTAATATATCATTAATCAGATTTTAAAAATGGTTAATATCTAATTTGATATACATTATAATTATCAATACCATAGCTTTTTTGTTTTTAATAAGAGCAAAAATTACTCATATAAGAGGTCATCTTTGGATAAAACCAATTAACACCAATGTGAAATATTTGCTCAATGTTGAAGGCCCTAAGGTGACCTATATTTGTTAACTTATGTCATTTGGTCTCTGGTAGATTGTTGTCTCATTGACAATCATACCACATCTTCTTATTTTTACACGTATGGCTGACAAAATATTTAAAAGCTGTTAACATTATATCAGTATCTAACCTACCTCCAATTTTACGACAGGCCCGTTCTGTTAATATTATATCAGTATCTGACCTACCTCCCATTTAACGACAGGCCCGTTCTGTTAACATTATATCAGAATCTAACATACCTCCCATTTTATGGCAGGCCTGTTCTGTTAACATTATATCAGTATCTGACCTACCTCCCATTTTACGACAGGCCCGTTCTGTTAACATTATATCAGTATCTGACCTACCTCCCATTTTACGACTAGCCCGTTCTGTTAACATTATATCAGTATCTGACCTACCTCCCATTTTACGACAGGCCTGTACTGTTAACATTATATCAGTATCTGACCTACCTCCCATTTTACGACAGGCCCGTTCTGTTAACATTATATCAGTATCTAACCTACCTCCCACTTTAAGACAGGCCTGTACTGTTAACATTATATCAGTACCTAAGCTACCTCCCATTTTAAGACAGGCCTGTACTGTTAACATTATATCAGTATCTGACCTACCTCCCACTTTAAGACAGGCCTGTACTGTTAACATTATATCAGTACCTAAGCTACCTCCCATTTTAAGACAGGCCTGTACTGTTAACATTATATCAGTATCTGACCTACCTCCCATTTTACGACAGGCCCGTTCTGTTAACATTATATCAGTATCTAACCTACCTCCCACTTTAAGACAGGCCTGTACTGTTAACATTATATCAGTACCTAAGCTACCTCCCATTTTAAGACAGGCCCCTTCTGTTAACATTATATCAGTATCTAACCTACCTCCCATTTTACAACAGGCCCGTTCTGTTAACATTATATCAGTATCTAACCTACCTCCCATTTTACGACAGGCCTGTTCTGTTAACATTATATCAGTATCTAAGCTACCTCCCATTTTAAGACAGGCCCCTTCTGTTACCATTATATCAGTATCTAACCTACCTCCCATTTTACGACAGGCCCGTTCTGTTAACATTATATCAGTATCTAACCTACCTCCCATTTCACGACAGGTCCGTTCTGTTAACATTATATCAGTATCTAAGCTACCTCCCATTTTACGACAGGCCCGTTCTGTTAACATTATATCAGTATCTAACCTACCTCCCATTTTACGACAGGCCCGTTCTGTTAACATTATATCAGTATCTAACCTACCTCCCATTTTACGACAGGCCCGTTCTGTTAACATTATATCAGTATCTAACCTACTTCCCATTTTACGACAGGCCCGTACTGTTAACATTATATCAGTATCTAACCTACCTCCCATTTTACGACAGGCCCGTACTGTTAACATTATATCAGTATCTAACCTACCTCCTATTTTACGACAGGCCCGTTCTGTTAACATTATATCAGTATCTTACCTACCTCCCATTTTACAACAGGCCCGTTCTGTTAACATTATATCAGTATCTAACCTACCTCCCATTTTACGACAGGCCCTTACTGTTAACATTATATCAGTATCTAAACCTACCTCCTATTTTACGACAGGCCCGTTCTGTTAACATTATATCAGTATCTAACCTACCTCCTATTTTACGACAGGCCTGTTCTGTTAACATTATATCAGTATCAAACCTACCTCCCATTTTACAGCAGGCCCGTTCTGTTAACATTATATCAGTACATCTAACCTACCTCCCTTTTTACGACTAGCCCGTTCTGTTAACATTATATCAGTATCTAACCTACCTCCGATTTTACGACAGGCCTGTACTGTTAATAGTTTGATATCTTCTTCATCTTCACCTGGGGTCTCTAAAATCACATCTTTTTGATTGTGGTCCACAAATACCAATAGGACTTTACAGCGGGGTATATTCAACACACTTTTATCATTGGTTACCACGAAATCTGCTTCGTCCATTTTTTTAATCCTCAGTCGACCCTCCACACTAGGTCTTGTTATTCTTCTATGTTTGTTGTGTGTTTCTTGACTGAAACTAATTACACAGAACTTGTTCCCAAGTTCCTCTGGTTGTGTTCTCTTTATTTGCTCAACAATACTAAGTGACTCCTGAAAATGATATTTTTGACTATTATGGCTCTTAGCATGAAAAGTTAAAACATTCTGCTCCTGATTTGAATTCATATGATATCAGGATGATCAGTTTTAAAATCTTCGGATCTTTATTGTCAACAATAAGTAAAACCCATACCACATAAACTGTTGACACAGAGATATGTCTTGCCTATAGGCATAAAATTCAGTAAAAGACAATCTGATGGACAGCAACATTGCTTATTATTAATTCAGTCACTGGACCATGATCTAGTGGGCAGGGCCACAAAATGGTCGACAAACTGAGATGTACTGACAGTGATGTTACTTTAGAGAAAATATCTCTGTTTATTGTAAGTAATTCCTATCAATATAACTTAAACAAATAAACTTAACATTGAAAACTGCTAATTAATTCAAAGTTACTGGACCAAGTTCTAGGGGCAGGGCGTCAAAATAGTCATAAAACTGATGCGACTGATAGTAATGCAACTTCATACAAAACATCATTGATCTAATTACAAGTAGATCCTATCAAACTAACTAATGCAGAATACTTAACATTGAAAATTGCTAATCAATTCAAAGTCAAGTGGACCCCGTCTTAGAGAGCAGGGCCTCAAAATAGTTGTCAAACTGATATGTACTGATAGTAATGCAACTTTCTATTAAATATCAATGATCTATCACAAGCACTTCCTATCAAACTAACTTAAGCAGAAAACTTAATAATTGTTGAAGCTGGAGCTGTCGCTGAAAAAAGCAATCCCTATGTCGAGCTTTCCGCAACTTAAAAGGCATCAAAATGACCTGATATTGTAGCACATTTGTAACAACATTCACATAAATGTCTGGTGATTTATCAATTTGTTGACTTCTTCTGGCCAAATAAGGCTTTCATTCTTATGTTTTCTTTTTGCACCTGTCAGTGAGTGTTATTTATCTTATAAGATATAAAAATAGTGTACTCACATATTGCAAAGATGGTTTATCCTTGTTTTCTGTTAGATATTGTATTTTTTTATCCATTTCATCAATCTTGTTCTTTCTGTTGTAAAACTGACCACCACATATGGACAAAACAAGTAGGACAAAAACAACAGCCATTCTCTGTACCAGTACCCATTTGTCTTCAATATCTAAATGAAAACGTATTCATAAATTTAAATACACATTTTTCTGAATTATCATGATTATAATGAAACGCATTATAGACAACTCAAGGCAAATCAGCAAATATTGATTATTCACACAATAAGGAGCTTGTGTCTCTAATGTGTGCATCTTCAACAACAGACACTTTTAATAAAGAGCTGTGCCATGAGCACATGATATGCCAATCGCTTTTTCAACAAATTAAGTTCCATTACTCCTCAATGTCATATCAGAAATTTATTAAAAAAAACTTATGGGAGCTTATCTTAATAGATATAAACCAGTCACTAAAGTTTCATGAAAACTGCTAAAAGCATTTTTGAGTTATTGTCCAAAAACGGGAAAATCCCCCCCCCCCCCCCCCCCCCCCACACTTTTTTTTATGAATAAAATCCAAAACTCGGAAACATAAATCTAAGATTTATAAAAATTAAAAAAGTGCTTACATCAATAGATATTAACAATTACCCAAAGTTTCATCTAAATTGGTTAAAGCGCTTTTGAGTTATCGTCTAACATGATGATGAGGGACAGACAGACAACGGTTTACTATAAACAGGTGTATAAAAAGCAAATTGAGATAAAAAAGAAAAAAAAAGGAATTTAATGAGAGAATTTTTGCATATATATATAGATTCTACCACTGCATCGAGTGTGATACGATATTTATCCACTCAAGACAGTAAAATTTTCAAATTTAAAACGCGAGGCTCGCCGAGCGTTTTAAATATTTAAAATTTAACTGTCGAGAGTGGATAAATATCGTATTACACGAGATTTGGTGGTGGAATCTGTTTCTCTAATGATTTTCTAACAATATGCAGGCAAATTTATTCCTTCTTTTCAAATGATCTGCAAAAAGATGTGTTCTTTCTATGTGACGTCATCAGACATGGTCGCCTTTTTTCATGCCGTCACAGTAGGAAATTCAGAGGAAAGCAAGAAAATTCGACGTCATAATCGGATTTTAACCAATGATGAACTGAGATCAAACGAACCACACGTTGATTAAATTTTTTTTATACAATGGGTGCAGAAAGGGATAAATTGACGAAGAATTAGAGAAATATATATATCTTGATTTCATATTATGAGTAAGACTTTGTTGAAGCAATGATGTGAAAAATTGGTTGGTTTCTAAGAATTTTCTATTTTATTTTTTTCAAAAAAAGATGTTCCTCATCCGTCAGTATTAAACAGCTGCCCAAAAAGCACATGACACTCTCTTGTACATATTGAAAAGGTTGCAAGAATAAATTGGGATATTTCGAAGACATTTAATCATTAGGAAATAAAAAGACTCTGTAATAAAAACGTTCATGACTGAGGACACCCTCTTATTAAATCAAACAGTTTGTTATGTTTACAAATTCCAACAATAATGTAACGTTTATACTAAATCCACTTATTATAAGCAGCACAGGGATGCATGCTTAAGAGCCCCTGCTAGTACAACTATTCTGACATTTCAGGGAAAATACAAATGGGAGACTATTTATATTTTGTTATTTTGCAACACTTTGAATTTATGATAACTATAATTTTGTGAAATAAATAAATATATATATATATACGAAATTACACAACTATTTGTATTTTAAGTAAAATTTGAATATGTTATCTTTTCCATGCCAAATGGTCAATTAAAGAGCTTGAAATTATCATATTCATAGCCCATTATTGTTATTTAAATTAATTGCACCAGTTAAATGATCACACGTGCAGAAATGAATTGTGGGATGTTGTTATGTAGTTAATAAACTGTTATCACAGAGATATGTGTCGCCTTTTTGTAATTTTGATAATGCAAATGTTGATATTAAAATAGCAATACTTTAACATGTAAGTTATGCAAATACTCAATGTCAATGAACCATGACTGAAGGTACATGGCTAAACAATCTCCATGGAATGAGATGTGCAAATGCTAATACAACTGCATACCAAATACCATTGACTTATTATAAGTCGTTCCCTTTAAACAGACCTAAACACAAACATTAGCTTGTAAACTATGTAAAAGTTTCAAAGTCAATGGACCATTATCAGGGGTTGGGCTATATAATCTCCATGGAAACGATACTTGCAAATGCCAATAAATTTGCATACCAAATATCATTGACTTACATGACTTAACATTAGCAGTTCATCTTAAACTATCTAATCACAAACTAATACATGTAAACTAAGCAAAAGTTTCAAAGTAAATAGACCATGACTGAGGGGGCGGGGCCAAATATTCTCCATGGAAATGAGATGTGCTAATGCTTATACAACTGAACACAAATTAACATTGGCCTACCACTAATGGTTCCCCTTGAACTGACCTAATCACAAACTTATACATGTTAACTTAGCAAAATTTTCAAAGTCTATAGACCATGACCAAGGGGGCGGAGCCAAATAATTTCCATGAAAATGAGATATGCCAATGCTTATACAACTGCATACCAAATATCATTGACCTACCACTAGTGGTTCCCCATAAATTGACCTAATCACAAACTAATACATGTAAACTTAGCAAAATTTTCAAAGTCTATAGACCATGACTAAGGGGGCGGAGCCAAATAATCTCCATGGAAATGATATATGCCAATGCTTATACAACTGAATACCAAATATCATTTACCTACCGCTAGTGGTTCCCCATAAATTGACCTAATCACAAACTAATACATCATGTACATGTAAACTATGAAAAGTTTCAGAGTCAATAGACCTTGACTGAGGGGCGGGGCCAAATAATCTCCATGGTAATGAGATGTTCCAATGCTAATACAACTGATTACTAAATATCATTGACCTACCACTAGTGGTTCACCATGAACTAGACCTTATCACAAACTAATACATTGTTGACATCACCGCCGCCGGAAACAGCATAACTATGTCTCGCTTTTTGACTCCGTCAAGGCGAGACAAAAATGTGAAGGAGACTAATGGTGGTGAGTAAAAAATTATTGAATCTAAATGTATGTATGAAATTATAATGTTCATCTTTAATTTAATAACGCATAATTAATTATCTAGCAGAAAAAGTTTGTAATGTTTGAACATAAGTCATCACTTAATTAACGTCTAATACATGAAAGCAAAAACTTGATTTTAGTGTTTAACCATATCAAATATATATGAACTTGACAGTTGATATTTGACAACGTTCCTATATTTCTAAATTAATCATTTTGTAGTTTCAAACTAATACACCATTTATAGTATCAATAATTTCTGTGTTTTACACCACCTTTCATATTCATACTCAGGATATCCCAAGTCAAAGTGGACAGCAGTTCTTAAGCAGTTTATTAGCATTCACAGTTCTTACTTGACAGCTGTTCTTTAGCAGTTCATTAGCATTCACAGTTGCCAAATTCAAGGCAATGGTTAATTTGCATATAGGCATTCAAATAGCATTCCATAGCAGTTTCTTAGCAGTTTATTCAGCCTTCACAGTTATTTAGCAGTTATTTTTGACGAAAAATTTAAATGAGATACCCCAAAACTGCTATTTTCTCTGAATATTCATGAGAACTGCTATAATAACAGCTATCAATAATGAATATTCATATAAACTGCTAAGTTGCTCATCCTAATATGGTTTTCTAAACTGCTAATAACTGCTATGGAATGCTATCAGATCTGCCAAAAGTTGGAATACAAAGGTACATGTACATGAATATACAGTGTATAAGATATGAATGCAAAAATAAAATTCTAATATTTTAAGTCTTGTTGAAATTTCAAAAAGTTGTAGTAACTTATATTTGTAACTGTAGCAGACTGCAATCAAATGACGCTATTTTAATCCAATCACAGACTTGTTAAGGGGCTGTAAGCATGTTTGTGAGTACTGTACCTGGCATTAGACCCCTTATTAATTATGTCAGTAGCCGAATAATAGGAACGGTTAAGAATGCACTTTAAATATCAGTGCTTATAAAAATGAACTTATTCAATAAGAGTGGTACTAGAGACTATTAATTACCATGACTAAGTGATTTTCAGATTAAAAGTTATTCTTTTTAATTATTCTTTAATTACCAAATGTATACTACTAATTTGAAGCCTCTCTCTATATATATTGTATGTGGACCAAAAGACAACAGTTATCTCCTCTTTTTAATTTCTTAATACATGTAATATATTATGTTTCCACTTTCTGAAACAAACTTAAGAAACATATATTAACTTCATTAAATAGACTGTTTGGTCAATATTAACCAATCAGCTATAAAGTTTGCAGCCTAGGTTTCCCTGATATTCCCTCCCCCTTTTTTCAACTCTTGAATATATTTGTTATTTGTTTTTTTTTACAAAATTATATCAAAATATTCTTCTTTTTTTTTTTTTCAAATAACATCTTGCACTGTAAGTTTATGCTAGTATTTTATCACAATCCTGTAAACCAGATATTCTATGTGAATAAACAACTATCCCCCTTTTTTTGGGCTTTCTGTATGATTTCTGTTTTCCTCTACAAAGTTAGTCATAAAATATATTGTCACATGCGTTAAACTATACTTCAACTTACTGTAGTGCAGGTGTGTGAAAGTATTCCATTTAGCAAAAATATTAAACTTTATAATTGACAAAAATACAGTTTTTCACCAGCAAGTATTTACACACAGCTTGGAGCCAAAATGCACATTTGAAAATGATCAAATAATCTTCAAATAAAGGTTTACTTTCAAGCTGAAAACACAGCCAGATTCAAGCATTTTTGTAACAAAGATTAAAACCAAAACTGCTATCAAACTGCTATCGAACTGCTGTCATAACTGTTGTCCAATTGACAAATTGACAGCAGTTTAAGAAGGTATTCAAACTGCTAAGATGAATGCTAAGAAATGGTGAAATAAAGCAGTTTTTCAAACTGCTATTAGATGGACTGCTATGAACAGCTAAAAGACTGCTAAAAATATGAAGAACTGGTAAATAACAGCTAAAAAACAGCTAATGATAGCAGTTCAATTTGACTTGGGATTCTTTTCTGTTTTTTGTAAATTGGTAATTTTTGACCAGTACAAAATTCCAATTATAAATAAAATGCTTCGCTGAGCGCAGCTGGATACGACCGCAGAGGCCCAACCCTGAACAGTTGGGGCAAAAATGGACACAATATTCGCGCTTGATACAGGTCTGAATTTGGATTGTAATTAAATATTTGACACATAATAGGTTTCTGACACCGAATAACTGTAGTCAAAGAACTTAGAATTGTTTATATGATTTGAATTTATATTCAATTTTTTGCTTTTGTGCAATACACTATGCTGTTGCGAAATTGACCCCCCCCCCCTTTTTTTTTTTGCTTTTGAGAAATACACTATGCTGTTGTGTATTGACCCCCCCCCCAAAAAAAAAGAAATAATATTTTAAGAAATTTTCTTTTTAATTTCTGAAATCTGAGATGAAAAAAATTGCCCCCCCCCCCTAAATTTTTTTTCACCTCCCCCTTTTCCAAAAAAAAATTCTTTCCCTCAAGATATGGTCATAATCTAAATTCAAATTTCCAATGGAGTTTGCAAACATAATTACCAATTTAAATACATCATAAAAGTCTTAAAATAGAAAAAAAATTCCCCCAACCCCCAAATTTTTTGAACCCCCTTATGATTCATCACCCCTAAACTCAATCCCAGCCATCCCTTTGTGGTATGGTATCTTGCAGTACAATTTCAGAAGGATCCATACACTTGAACACAAGTTATGTCTGGAAACTAGAAAAATGCTTGTTTTTTGGCCCCAAATTCCTAAAAGTTTAGGGCAATTACCCCCAAACTCAAACCCAGCTTTCCCTTTGTGATATGGAACCTTGTAGTACAATTTCATGAAGATCCATACACTTACAAACAAGTTATTGTCCTGAAACTAGAAAAATGCTGTTTTTTGCCCCTTTTGGCCCCTAATTCCTAAAATTTTGAGGCAATTACCCCCAAAATCAATCCCAGCCTTCCCTTTGTGGTATGGTACCTTGCAGTACAATTTCAGAGAGATCCATACACTTGAACACAAGTTATTGTCTGGAAACTAGAAAAATGCTTATTTTTGGCTCCTTTTTCCTAAACGTTTAGGGCAATTACCCCCAAACTCAATTCCAGCTTTCCCTTTGTGATATGGAACCTTGTAGTACAATTTTAGAAAGATCCATACACTTACACACAAGTTATCGTCTGGAAGTTCAAAAATGCTTATTTTTGGCCCCTTTTGGCTCCTAATTCCTTAACTGTTGGTACCATAACTCCCAAAATCAATCCCAACCTTCCTTTTGTGGTATTGAACCTTATGGTAAAATTTCATAGAGATCCATTCACTTAAACTAAAGTTATTGTGCTAAAACCAATGTGTCTTCGGAAGACGACTACGACGCCAACGTCAAACCAATATATGACCGCAAAAATATAAAAGTTTCACTTTCAATCCAAATTTATTGCAACTAATTTACAGTGAGCAAAAAGATGGAGTAATGTTTCTCTTTCTTCACAGTGGCAAATACCATTTTATTTCTATCATTTTTTATAGCCTATCTTCTGTATAAAAAATATTGCATAGTAGCTTCCATTGAAATTGTGTTGCTTTTCTATTAGCAAAATTTTTGTGAACACAGTTCCAAATAAGTTCCCATGGCAACTCAAATTTTAATACAGTTCACATTATAGTTTTGTACAATCATGACTAGAGAAACAACAAAGAAATAATGAATATTTTTTAAAAGTAATTTCTTTTCTTCTATGATTTCATTATTTTTTGTAAAATGGATAGAGTTTTAACTTTGAAAGGTTTATACTAATTAGACACATTTTAGAGGGGATGTTATTTTCAAATTTTAATACATTAATAGTGTGAATGTTGCTTTGATAGACTCAGCTCTGATACATGTACATGTATATATCCAATTTCTTTTTAATATTGATAAGACGATTGAATATCCCAACTGAGGCTCTTAGTCTAAAACATTTCGTATTTACATCTCAGATATCATTTACCATTTTAATCCCACTTTCGAAAAAATTTGCATCATATAATGAATTCCCCATAACCTTAAAATTTGTTTATTTCAATATGATTTCAGCAACTTAGTCCTCATTCTGGTGGAAGTTGAAATAAAACCCTAGTTTTTTTAACTAGATTGTCAGTCAATCCACCTACCAATACTTAATATTCCTATAGTTTCATTCAAGGTCTGTACTCTGTCTGGTATTTTTGAGATGGAAGGAAATTCTTTTTGATATTTTTCAATCTCTTTAACATGTTTTATTAGATCTTTTTCTAAATGACTGACTGACTGCTGTGCCTCATCTAATTTAGAATCCATCATCTTAATTTCTCCCTGTTTTTCTTGTACAGTTTTCAATAACAGCTTTAAGTTGTCAAACCTTTTTGATTCTGTGCTTAAGTCACCATTGAAGGTAGACATATTAGTAATTAAAATTTCCATTTCTTTTTCTAATACTTTAAAGGAACTGTTTAAGAAAGTCTCATTTCTAATAATTAATTCCATCCTTTCAGCTGTTTCTTTACATTTGTCCATTTGTTCACTACAGTTAGCAATTACAGTTCCTAAGACAACAAAGGAATCATTTAGTTTTCTAGAGCTCACATTTAACTGCTGAGTAACTTCTTTTAACTGTGCCACTTCTTCTGTATTTGTATCTAACAAATTACTTTCCTCCGTCAACTTAGTTCCAAATTCCTGTAACTTTTGACTGAACCGGTTGTGTTCTTGCTGTAAAAATGATGAATCTTTGCTTATTTTTTCCATTTGGGTATTCATCATTGTTATTCTATCTGCTTTGAAAGTGAGATCATCTTTTAAAGAGAGACAGTTTTCAGCCGACTTTCTTACAATCTCAATATCTCCCTGAATTGCCCTAACATTTTCTTGTTCTGACTTAACAGTTTCAATCTCTTCAACTAAAATATTTAAATCAGACTTTTCCTTTTTTAATGTTTCATTCATTTTTGTTAAGTTCTTTCCGAGCACTTCAACATCATTTCTTATTAATCCAACTGACATTAGAATATCATCCTTTTCATTATTAGCATTTTTTATTCTGTCCTCAATTTTTGCCATTGTTTTAATTGATTCTGAGTAAGTCTGTGTGTCACCAAAAAGGAAAGAAAACTTTTCATCTGATACATTATCTAACTGATTAATTTTTTCCAGCAAACTTTGAGTGTTGGACTGTAATGTATCAACTTTTATGTACAAGAAAACATTAAATACCAATAATCTGAAATTAAAGAAATGAAATAATAGTAATATTTCTTTTTCAGAATAAACATGATAAATCATGATAAATATGATAAAACTGTTTAACCTAAAACCATTTACAGCATTAAGATCACTTGCATGATAATTACTACCATGACTACCTGGACTATATTTCATTTTCTAGGTATATTCATTTCTTTTTATTTAAATAAACTGTTGAAACCAGTTTAGCTAGATAATCTACACGTTGATCTAAGTTTTGCCAATGCTAATAGCCTAATACATGCAACTGCATACCATGTATCATTGACTAATCAACAGCTGTTCTAAAACTAAACTTTTAAACAGGGGAAATGTTCAAAGTCATCAGACCATGACTGGGATTGGGCCAAACAATTTTCATAGATATAAGATATGCCAATGCTAGTACAACTGCATAGCTAATATAATTCACTTACCATCAGTGATTCCCCTTAAACTGACCAAATTATAAACCTTTACGTTTAATCTAAGTGAATGTTTCATGAACAGACCATGACTGATGGGATGAGGCCAAAATATCTCCCTAGATTTAATCTGTCAGAACAAAAGTTCCAAAGTCAATAGACCATGACAAGAGGATGGGGACAAAGAATCTTCATGAAAATGAGATGTGCTAATGCTCATTCAACAGCATGCCAAATACCATGTTCATATCTTTTATTTGGAAAAATAAACGCAATTTGCCGTTATGGAAAAGGAAAAACTACAATCAATCCTTACTTAGGGATTCTTTATTTGCTACACCAATTGTTGGAGACGTCCTTACATTGGTAGCATTTAACTAGCACATGTTTCTAAATAGACTTTTTTTTATAAGTATATCACAGACGACACAAAGGTGAACAACTAGATGAAATTTCTAAACAATTTTATGATACCTATCAATTAATAATGTACATTTCATTAGGAAGTATCATTTGCTTTTTTTTCTCTCTCATTTTCCTATTACATGTACCTTCTGTTATGTGTTTTTTTTTTCTATCTACATATAAATACTTTATTGTAACACAGTCAACCATGTTCGTCAAAGTTTCATATAATTACTCGCCAAAACGTAATACTAAAAATAAATTAAGGACTGAAAGTATATATACATAATATTTATGTTATATGAATTTAAGGCGCAATTACTACACAAGTAAGCCGCCTACCAAAACCAATAACAACAACAACATGTTCATATCTTTAAATAGTAACAAATAGAAGACAGCTTTATTAACGTTATGTTAACTACATGAAAACATTTTTTATGCAGTTGATTAACACTCAACATATAAATATTCTTTATATTTTATATATACATTAAAGTATAATTACCCTAATAGCAAAACTAACAATAAAGAGTTTTTATTTAACCGCTTTAGATCTGGAATATTTATCACTGAGGATTTTGAAGCTGGGTTTAACTGTGATCGACGAGGGGGTCTCTGTGGCATATACTCTGAACATGTTGTACTTGATGATCCAAGACCTTCATCCTGTGAATCAAAGTCAGAATATTCAGGATATATATATTCTTTTTCTTTTCTCCTACGTGGTGGCATTTTTGACACATTTCCCAAAATTTCTAAAATTAAAAACACAATAACAATTGAACAGCAGTAGTATTAAAATCTTTTGTTTCAAATCAAGATTGATGCTAATCGTACGAAACTAAATAGATTTGGTATAAAGGGCAATAACTCCTTAAGGGGTCAATTGACTATTTTGGTCATGCTGACTTATTTGTAGATCTTACTTTGCTGAACATTATTACTATTTACAGTTTATCTCTATCATGTCTATCTATAATAATATTCAAGATAATAACCAAAATCTGAAAAATTTCCTTAAAATCACCAATTCAGGCGCAGCAACCCAACAACTGGTTGTCTGATTTGTCTGAAAATTTCAGAGCAGATAGATCTTAACCTGATGAACATTTTTATCCCGTCAGATTTGCTCTAAATGATTTAGTTTAAGAGATATAAGCCAAAATCTGCATTTTACCATTATGTTCTATTTTTAGCCATGTCGGCCATGTTGGTTGGTAGGCAGGGTCATCAGACACATTTTTTAAACTAGATATCCTAATGATGATTGTGGCCAAGTTTGGTTAAATTTGTCTACCAGTTATTTAGTTTTAGAGGAGAAAATTTTTGTAAAAGATACAAAAATTTACCAAAAATTGTTAAAATTGACTGTAAAGGGCAATAACTTAAGGGGTCAGTTGACCATTTTTGTCATGTTGACTTATTTGTAGATCTTACTTTGCTGTACATTATTGCTGTTTACAGTTTATTTCTTATCTATAATAATATTGAAAATAATAACCAAAAACTGCAAAATTTTCTTAAAATAACCAATTCAGGGGCAGCAACCCAACAACGAAAATTTCAGGGCAGATAGATCTTGACCTGATGAATAATTTGACCCCGTCAGATTTGCTCTAAATGCTTTGGTTTCCCAGATATAAGCCAAAATCTACATTTTACCCACAGCGGCCATCTTGGTTAGCGGGCCGAGTCATCAGACACATTTTTTAAACTACATACCCCAATGATGATTGTGGCCAAGTTTGGTTTAATTTGGTCCAGTAGTTTTAGAGGAGAAGATTTTTGTAAAAGTTAACGACCATGACAGATGCCAAGTTATGAGAAAAGCTCACTTGGCCTTTTAGGCCAGGTGAGCTAAAAAGGAAATAACTTTAGACATGTGATAGAAAATTAATAGGTTATTTTATTAGGGGAAATTAATCTCCAGAAATAAAAGAATGTTTTTTGTTCATTTTCATCATCATGATAATAGCAATTTAGTGGAACTAAAGTCTTATAGGATTGTAAGTATGCTTAATTTATTACCAGAAGGAGATTTAGGGGGTTCAAGGCCCCCCGCCCTTTTTCAAAATCCTGGATCTGCATCTGATTACCTTGCACTTTGTTGACTTGCCTGGTTTTCTATAGCAGTTGGTTAAAATGTCTGATCATTGAAGAATTTATTGTTGACTGTGTGAGTCAGTTGTTATGTACAATTCTACAAGAACTTGTGTCACTGTAATTGTTACTGCTGAATATTAAATCCTGTATAAAATAAAATTTGATATTTAGACCTTTACAACAGTGTAACATTAACATCAACAATGGATGAAGATGGGTAGGCTTTAGGAGTTTTGTGTAAACAATTTTGAAATTTTGCTATGAGAATAAATTCCTTTAGTACCAACCTCAATTATTTTTTTTTTCTACTGGCTGTATACGTCATTGAATCATGCAAATAAATATATACATTGTATATTAGCAACTATATATTCCAGAGATATTCAGGAAAAAAATATCAACAAAATAGATTGATATGCAGCAAAGATTATCACTCATGAATTTAAGTCACTAAGCAAATTCAAACGGACCTGAAATATTTAATTTGAATATAACAAAAGGCTGTGCATGTATGTAGAACAAGAGTGCCCACGCCGAAATGTCTCGCCTGTTTTACTGACCATTGATTTTATATTGAAAGTCTTAAAGATAAAGGTTTTACTACAAGTACATGTATCACATATGCATAAACCTAACATTTTTTTAAGATCCATGACAATGAGGTCAAGGTCAGATAAAAACTGTCACAGACATGTACACCTTACAATTATTCTATACACCAAATATAGTAATATAAGTTGACCCATTCCTTTTGTTATTGAAAAACAGACCAAAACACAAAAACTAAGTGTTAACCAATGAACAATGGAAATGAGGTCAAGGTCAGATGATACCGGCTAGACAGACATGTGCACCTTACAATCATTCCATACACTAAATATAATTGACCTATTGCTTATAGTACTTGAAAAACAGACCAAAACACAAAAACTTAACATTGGCCAATGGTCCATTAAAATGAGGTCAAGGTCAGATGAAACCAGCTAGACAGACATGTACACCTTACAATCATTCCATACACCAAATAAGTTGACCTGGTGCTTATAGTACTTGAATAAGAGTGCAAACGCTGAAATGTCTCGCCTACTATACTGACCATTGATTTTATGTTGATAGTCCTACATATGAAGTTTTACTACAAGTATCACATTAACATTTATGATCCAAGAAAATGAGGTCAAGGTCAGATAAACCAAGACAGAAATACATGTACATCTTTAATACAATCATTCCATACACAGAATATAGATGACCTATTGCTTATAGTATAAAAGAAACAGACCAAACCATGGAAATTCTATATTGACCAATGAATCATGAAAATGAGGTGAAGGTCAGATGATACCTGCCAGACAGACATATACACGTTACAATCATTCCATACACCAAATATAGTTGACCTATTGCTTAAAGTTTAAGATAAACTGTTATCACATAGATATGTCTCGCATATTTGTAATTTTGATAATGCAAATGTTGAAATTAAAATAGCAATACTTTAACATGTAAGTTATGCAAATATTCAAAGTCAATGAACCATGACTGAAGGTACATGGCTAAACAATCTCCATGGAATGAGATGTGCCAATGCTAATACAACTGCATACCAAATACCATTGACTTATTATAAGTCGTTCCCTTTAAACAAACCTAAACACAAACATAAACTTGTCAACTATGTAAAAGTTTCAAAGTCAATGAACCATGATCAGGGGTTGGGCTATATAATCTCCATGGAAACGATACTTGCAAATGCCAATAAATTTGCATACCAAATATCATTGACTTAACATTAGCAGTTCATCTTAAACTGATCTAATCACAAACTAATACATGTAAACTAAGCAAAAGTTTCAAAGTCAATAGACCATGACTGAGGGGGCGGGGCCAAATATTCTCCATGGAAATGAGATGTGCTAATGCTTATACAACTGAACACAAATTAACATTGGCATACCACTAATGGTTCCCCTTGAACTGACCTAATCACAAACTAATACATGTTAACTTAGCAAAATTTTCAAAGTCTATAGACCATGACTAAGGGGGCGGAGCCAAATAATCTCCATGGAAATGAGATATGCCAATGCTTATACAACTGCATACCAAATATCACTGACCTACCACTAGTGGTTCCCCATAAGTTTACCTAATTACAAACTAATACATGTAAACTATGAAAAGTTTCAAAGTCAATAGACCTTGACTGAGGGGGCGGGGCCAAATAATCTCCATGGTAATGAGATGTGCCAATGCTAATAAAACTGCATACCAAATATCATTGAACTAGTGGTTCACCATGAACTAGACCTAATCACAAACTAATATTTTGTTGACGCCACCTCCGCCGGAAACAGCATACCTATGTCTCGCTTTTTGACTCCGTCAAGGCGAGACAAAAAATGCTGTTTAATCAGTCAAAGATATAACTCTATAGGGTTATTACAGAAAATAACTTGTGTGTGTTATTACAGATACTTTCATGAGTTGTCTACTCTTTATTCCTTAAATTTTCTAAATCTGTAATAACATATGTTTGTTATTTGTAAAATTATTTCATTTATAGTGGGCTCTAGGGAACTCTTGAGACTTTGCGCAGAAACTAAATGCAAAGCCTTGATAACTAATTTTTTAATTAAATTAATTCATTTTTGATTAACCATAGTAAATCAATGAGACGAGGCTATTAAGGGATAAACTTAGCTGTGATAACAAGGCTAGGTTATTAAAGGAATGTAACTTATTATATAAGACACTTGGGAATTACTGAGAAACTTGCGCAGAACCTCATTACATGCTCTGGTCATTATTTCTTACAATAAATTAAAATACATTGTAATTAAGCATGATGTATGTCTGAGCAAATGCTTTGAAGTGATATAGAGAAGCTGTGATAACACCCTTTAGTTATTACAGGCATATTTTTTCTGTAATAACATATAGGTGTACTATGCAAAATTGGCAAACTATGAACTGTTATATCCTTCAATAGTTAAGTATACATATAGACAAAAGTAATATCAATAGAACTTTTATACATTTTAACTAAACTAATGATGTATATATTCCCTTTGAAACATGTAACATACATATGTTATCACAGTTCTTTGATTTTTTAGTCCACAATAACAAATGTATGTTATTTTTCTGTAATAACCGGTACCTATAGAGTTATATCCCTGACTGTTAATCGACATGAAAAAAAATTGCCTAATTGTACAACTTGGTTTGGTCAGCCAGTTTTTCAACATGGAGGTACCCCGCGTAGTCTTTTTCTTCTCTTAGATGACGGTTATGCCATGATGCAATACGTGGATTTCGAATTGTTTATGATTTTCTGATTCCATTTTCTCGATGTAAAAATTTGCGATTGGACCACGAGTTGATAGTCATGTCATTAGCTCAGGTCATAAGTGTCAGCTTGGGGTATTCGTACCCAAACAGTTATCACACAAAGGGCAATTAACACCTATTTATAATTAATCACTCTTAATATTGCCTCTATTGTCCAACTTGAAGGTATTACAATTAAAGGTGATATAATTTTTATGATCACAAGCGGTAATTAGATGAAAGTCAATAAAATGCTTTGCTAAGCGCAGCTGGATACGACCGCAGAGGTCCAACCCTGAATGGTTGGGGCAAAAATGGACACAATATTCCACTTGATACAGGTCTGAATTTGGATTGTAATTAAATATTTGACACATAATAGGTTTCTGACACCAAATAACTGTAGTCAGAGAACTTAGAATTGGTAATATGATTTGAATTCATATTCAATTTTTTGCTTTTGTGCAATACACTATGCTGTTGCGAAATTGACCCCCCCCTTTTTTTTGCTTTTGTGAAATACACTATGCTGTTGTGTATTGACCCCCCCCCCCCCCCAAAAAAGAAATAATATTTTAAGAAATTTTCTTTTTAATTTCTGAAATCTGAAATGGAAATAAAAAAATTGCCCCCACAACTTCTTTTTTACCCCCTTCCCCCCTAAATTTTTTTTTCACCCCCCCCCCTTTTCCAAAAAAAAAATTCTTTCCCTCTTACCCTCAAGATATGGTCATAATCTCAATTCAAATTTCCAATGGAGTTTGCAACCATCATTACCAATTTAAATACATCATAAAAGTCTTAAAATAGAAAAAAATCCCCCCCCCCCCCCCCAATTTTTTAAACCCCCTTATGATTCATCACCCCCAAACTCGATCCCAGCCTTCCCTTTGTGGTATGGTACCTTGCAGTACAATTTCAGAGAGATTCATACGCTTGAACATAAGTTATTGTCTGGAAACTAGAAAAATGCTTGTTTTTTGGCCCCAAATTCCTAAACTTTTAGGGCAATTACCCCCAAACTCAAACCCAGCTTTCCCTTTGTGATATGGAACCTTGTAGTACAATTTCATAAAGATCCATACACTTACACACAAGTTATTGTCTGGAAACTAGAAAAATGCTTGTTTTTGCCCCTTTTTGGCCCCTAATTCCTAAAATTTTGAGGCAATTACCCCCAAAATCAATCCCAGCCTTCCCTTTGTGGTATGGTACCTTGCAGTACAATTTCAGAGAGATCCATGCACTTGAACACAAGTTATTGTCATGTAACTAGAAAAATGCTTGTTTTTTGCCCCTTATTCCTAACATTTTGAGGCAATTACCCCCAAAATAAATCCCAGCATTCTCTTTGTGACATGGAACCTTATGGTACAATGTCAGAGAGATCCATACACTAACACACAAGTTATTGTCGGGAAGTTACAAAAATGCTTAGTTTTGGCCCCTTTTTCCTTAACTGTTGGAACCATAACCCCCAAAATCAATCCCCACCTTCCTTTTGTGGTATTGAACCTTATGGTAAAATTTCATAGAGATCCATTCACTTAAACTAAAGTTATTGTGTGAAAACCAATGTGTCTTCGGACAACGACGACATACCAATATACGGCCGCAAAATTTTTTTGCGGTCGTATAAAAATTAGGACATCGATTTTGCAGCAATGTATATATCTTTACGGAGACAAAAAAAAATCAAAGCACGAAAGCGCTGTAAAGGCAGTTAATTACAGGTTGTGTGTATTTTAAGTCCAGTTATATCATTATCTTGCATAGTACAGTGTACTTATCAGAGGTGGCTTTCAGTATTTAAGATTTAGAGTTCTCTA